TTGTCATATATATGTAAGAGCGAGGAGGGGGGGGGGGAGTTATAAAATGTTTAAAGCTACATATTTTGATTGCATACATGTACGATGGTATATTTATATTATCCCTTAAAATATTTTTAGTTGCATGACCTGTAAAAATCAATATTGAAAATCACATAAGCCGGAGATAGCTAAAAGGCGAGGTACAATGACTTTATACATATTAAACAGAAACAATCAAACCACGCGCTAGCCCTCGTCAGACTTTTAAGTAGAATTTTACAAGATAATCTGTACATTCCCTTGGATTTCAGTCATTTTTTTTTTTATCTTTATCTTTATTCATTCATTATAAATATTTGTACATTTACAACAAAAATTATCTAGAACTCTGTTTGATCGCGTACTGCTAATAAATTTAACCAGCGATCATAATATTCCTCGTTATTATTTAAAGTCGTTCTTTTTTTATGGGGGGGGGGGGGGTTCGCTTTTGGGGTTCGCTCTAGTGTTACATTGTAGCTTGTGTCTGGTCGGTACTGTACTATAGATTTTAAACTCTGAAAATCCCAGAAAGGAATGAGAGTTTCGTCAAATCCGCTCGATCTTATACTGAACAAATAAGTAAGTGTTTATCTGTTTGTTGAGCTTGGCAGTGAAAGTCCTTAAAAGATCACTTTATGTTGTTGTAAAAAAATCCCGAATGGGATATCAAAATGGATATAGTTAATAATATTGTACATGGCTGAGTATGTATGAAAATGTACATGCATCATGCCTCTAATCTCCAACATTTCGCAAATACTAAAATTACGTTTTTAGAAATATTAAAAAAAAATGGACTGCGGTTTGCCTAAAGTAAATATAAACAAAGATAATTTTTGATTATATATGTATATATTATATATGTATTTCTGAACTAAAAAGTTTATTGTGTAACCATGTATACTAATATTCTAGATTTAGAGATATTTCTTTTTTTACATAAATATTACACCAAAAAATTGCGATTATACGGGAAACACTTTAGATCATTATGATAAATTACTTACAAATTTTAAGGGTTCTCCGAAAAAAACCGAGATCTTCTTTTTTTAAGCGTTTCATGTATTGTACAGACTGTCCACTTGAAATTGTCCATTTTAAGTTGAAAATATTAACATGTTAATCTAAAAAATAAAAATGAATTAAGTGTAGATTTTAAATTATAAATCAACAAAAATGAAAACAAGAGGCCACAACGCTCAGCTGAGTCTATATAGTCCTGCTGTTCTTCATCAGCGGTTTTTTTAATTCCTACTATAAATTCTTATGTAAAATTTTGATCCCTGATGTTACCCCCCTTCTACTCCCAGTTCTCATGATTTGAATAAACTTGAATCTGCACTACTTAGCATGATTCCATATTCATATGACTATATACATGTGGCTTTGCTCTTTTGGAGAAGAAGATTTTTAAAAACGTAGCCCCATCATACCCCTAGGGAACATGATTTCAACAAACTTGAATCTAAACAATGAAGATACTTCCATATCAATGAGGCTAACCATGGCTTTCCTTTTCTTGAGAAGATTTTTTTTCCCAATATATCCCTATGATAACCCGTTGTGACCCCACCTTACCCCCGGGGAGCATGATTTGAACAAACTTGAATCCGCACTACCTGAGGATGCTTTCATATCAATATGACTAATCATGGCTTTGATGTTCTTGAGAAGATTTTTAAACTACAATTACATGTACATGTACGTACATTCCTTTGTAAAACTCCTTCCCCCGGGGTCTTGATTTGAACAAACCTGAATCTACACTACCTGAGGACACTTCCATATTGATATAATTAATCATGATTTTGCTGCTCTTGAGAAGAAGATTTTTAAAGTTTTTACCCTATATATTCCTATGTAAAACTTTGATCCTCCATTGTGGCCCCACTACCTCCGGAGGTCAGGATTTGAACAAACTTCAATTTACACTACTATAGAAGATGCTTCCATATCAATATGTCAGACTTACCATGACTCTGTACTCTTGAGAAGAGGATTTTTTTCCTATATATTCCACTCTTCCCCCGGGGTCATGATTTGAACAATCATGAATCTACACTATGTAATGATGGTTTCAGATAAGTTTCAACTTCTTTGGCCCATACAGTGGTTCTTGAGAGGAAGATTTTTGAAAAATGCCATCTAATTTCACTAATTCTTAATTATCTCCCTTTGAAAGAGGGCATGATCCTTCATTTGAAGAAACTTAAATTTCCTTTAACCAAGGATGCTTTGGTTGAAATTGGCGCAATGGTTCTGGAGAAGAAGTCGAAAATGTGAAAAGTTTACAGACGGACGGATCGGACAAACAGCTAGACAGACATACGACGAACAAAATGCGATCAGAAAAACTCACAGAGGTGAGCTTAAAATGAGTAAATCATATCTGTAAGAATTTTTACACAATTATAAAAAAGTACTGAGAATATAATTTAATATCTTTGCCCTCTGCTATGTTCAGTATTTTTGTGTCGCCTGCAGGGGAGGGCGACACTTAGAGATCACTTTACCCGGCGTCTGTCTAGCTGTCAGTCTGTCCGACCGTCACACCCTATATCTTGAGAACTGTAAGTGCTATGGATTTTATATTTTACACATATATATATTGCTTGACACTCTGGCTTGTGTGTAATACCATGGTTGTGACTTTTAAGTTTGACCTTTGACCTACTTTTCAAAATAGTTCATTTTTCAGTTTGCCGATAAACAGCGTATATTTGACATTTAACAGGTAAATGTATGCTATTTAGCATGTGCACTGTTTGCCATAAAAACAATATGAAAAATACCAGCGTTACAGTTCACTTGACCTTCGACCTACTTTGCAAAAATACTCCGGACGATTGATTTAACTTCTCTTTTTGATTTTGAGAGGCAAGGCTTTGATAATTAGCATTTATATCACATGGGAGGGAAAGGAGGGACTTGGAACTGGGTGTCCAGTGGGATCAGCTGTAATCTCTCTCATTTCATCTAATATATTACAGAAAATGTTATCTTTCTGAACCCATTTTTAAATACAGATAAATACATATATAAATAAGAATTAGAATAAAAATGAGTTATATTCAGATTTTTAAAAATTAAAGTTAAAAAAATGTGCATTTTAATCAATTAATTTTTATTCATTTATTTATGTATTTATTTATTCATTTTTGTATAGATGAACACTATGTTAGTTTTTATATTTTCTCTAAGAATATTTTTGTGGCCCCTGCAGAGCAGAGCGACACTTAGAGATCACTTTACCCGGCATCTGTCCAACTCTCCGTCCGTCTGTCACATCTTATATCTTGAGAACTATAGAGGTATTAATTTAATATTTTGCACATATAATAATTTGAAAACATTTTGTTTATTAGTATTCCATTGGCGAAACTAGGTACCATATCTGAGAAGTTCCATACCTTTAATTTTTTAATCCCCCAAATTTGACCTAAAGGCCTGAGTGCAACGAAAGCGAAGGGTTGATATATTTCAGTGCTGATATAGGAGATAGGAAAACTAATATGGCGTGTGCCTATTTACGAGTCAAGTTCAGCTTTAAGTTTTGTTACCAGACCCTCATGCTGTACACAACACAGATATATGTATGTTGTCTATGGGGATCAGCTACTTCATTTGAAGAATTACAATCCTTAATTGAATGTGCTTTATTCAGTCTGATACGTGTTATATTTTTAAGTTTACTGAGATACTTGTTATACATGACTTTATCGAAATAATTTTGAAAATAATGATATGCATGTATTACATCTTTCTTTCTTTCTTTTTTATTTTGAGCAGATTAAAAAGCCATAAAAATCAGAAATATGGGAGCAATAATAAGCACAGAGTATAAGATACGGCATTGCTGTGATTGTGAAAGGGACACGGAATTCTACTGCAAGACGTGCGAGAATGAACTGTGTGAACAATGTAAAGAAAAACATTGCATAGATCTAGATACAATATACCACGATGTAGTTATATACATTGAGAAATACGAAAATTCCCCGAAGTTTAAAAAGCGGCCTTCAAAAATGATATATAAAAGATTTTGTCATCAGTGTGAATTCCCCATTAGCATTGGATGTAGAAACCATAAAAAACATGAAAAGATGAATCTAAGAATAATGGGAAATAAGCGTCGGCAAAAATACAAGGATGTTATAAACAGCATCAGAGGTACTTCTCTTTACAATACCAGTATTCTTATGTCTCACATCAGAAGTGCTAGAAACCGTTGCTGCTCAGAAATTTCCAAATATAAAACAATTTCTCATAGATTACATGATTTAATGGAAACTATAATAACTGTAACATGTGATGAAGAAATCAGTCGAATAAATTCTTTGCTAAAACAAAAGAGGAAAGAATTAAGAAGACATCTCGCTTCCGTACAGAACTGTGAAAAGCACTTTGAACAATCACCATACAAACCGGTAGAATTCCTCATATTTCTAAAGAAAACTGGCGTCCCAAAAATAAAATACATTCCTAAATTTGCGCAACTCGCTCCTTATTACATGGAGAGAGAATTTGATATTAAAAAGAACATTCAGGTTTTGTGTGAGGTTCCCATCAGAGAATTAGGAACGACGGAATTTGGAATTCAATTTTTGTTAAAACTAATGCCTAAAGCCGTCTTACAAAATTCTTTCGAATTAGTATATATTTCGAATGTTTATCACATTTGCTGTATAACATCAGAAATGATCACTGTCAGCGATGGCTACAAGCTCTATTTGATACACAATACAAATCAAACGCAGCGTCTTTTAACAATCATGAACAGTGATATAGGAGTGCATACAGTAAATGGTACTGGGGAAATGCTTTATATAGACAAGAATTTCAACATTAAATCGTTTTCTGCTGCAGAACAAAAAACAAAAATTATAGTAAAGAAAATTGAACCATGGAGACCACGCTGTATATATTGCAATCCCTCTACTGGAGATCTACTTGTTGGGATGAAGAGAATTCAAACGATGTCAAACAAATCTACCACAAAATGGACAGGGAGGGTGACCAGGTATAACAACAACGGCCATCGAATCCAGACCATCCCTTGCATGACCAAGAAAAATAGTCAAGTAGATTATAGAACGCCGTTCTGCATCACAGAGAACTGCAACAGGGACATCATTGTGTCGGACATTGATCTAGGTGCTGTAGTAGTGGTAGACCACTTGGGACAAAATAGGTTTTCCTACAAAGGACATCAATCAGAATCCCAGCTTTTACCACGGGGTGTTTGTACAGATGCACTGTCAAACATTCTAGTGTGTGATGACAACACTAGTGCTATACAAATGATTGATAAGGACGGTCAGTTCCTGTCATTTTTACTTACAAAAGAACAATTAACAGGCACTCCACACACCTTGAGCATTGACAAGAAAACTCATCTTCTCTGGATAGGATCATCAGATAACAACGTGCTGTCTGTGTATAGATACTTAACCAGATATGACTACTCAACGTGTTAGTTTTTCTGTTTGTTTTATTTTTACATCCATATACGCGTCTGTAAATACTGTGTTTAGATAGAAATATCCATGATATAAAAACGAAATGGTTATTAATAGTTTTTATGCATAGTATATCAAAGAGAGAGAATAAATGTAACTGTGTACATACTACTTACTAGTACCCTTTTACTACCAAGAATTTTGCCCCCTTTTAAATTCAGTTGTGTTTAAGATATAATGCTGTCTTCTTTGTATATTCGCCCACTTTTAAATTCGCCCACTGCGACGAGGACAAAAGGGGCGAAATTAAAACGGGGCTGAAAACTGTATACAGCATGATGGTAAAAGATATATTTTTAATCAAATAATATTCATTTTATTTTATATATTTTCGACGATTTGCATTAATTGTCATTATATAAAATGTTCTACATTAAAAATGGATTACCAACCCTTTCATAGCACTCTCCTATAGACCACTATAGTACTAAGTCGAAAATAATGCACTATGAAAATGAAAGTCAAAAGTAGTCAATTTGATTTAACGAAGCTTGACTTAACCCCACACTGGGGCATCTTCCCTGGACCAGGAGAACATGAATTTTACAATTTTGCTAAAGAACCACTTCTCTTAATTATCACCCGGATTTTAAACAGTTTGCATGCGATGTACATGCACATGTATTTATGAATATTAAGATTTTCAACAGGGATGGGGTAATCGTAATCGAGTAATCGTAATCGATTGTAATGATTACATTTTTTCAAGTAATCGACAGTAATCTGTAATCGAAGAGATTTTCGATTACTTGTAATCGTAATTTAATCGATTACAGCTAAAATTTTCAATGTAATTATAATTACTTTTTCGATTACATTCGATTATTTTATACATAAATGGATGTTATTTTGGAGAATAATTTCCAGTCAGTCACACATAAATATCAAATATAAACCACCTAGTGTAATGTTTGGATTTCCTAACTTTTATTTTCATTAGTTTAATAATGTTTTCAATAAAATTTGCATTATAGGCTTACAGGTCTAGTATTAAATAATTCAGAAGTGTATTTCAACCATTTATTAATAAAATATACAGATTTTTCGTGCGCATTATACATTTGACCCATTGTCCTCTTGCTACATGTCCTTTTTCATATTTCAGATGTTGAAAAACTTTGTCTTGTAATAGAAAATTATAAATAGCAAAAACAGATTCAAATGCTGTATTAAATATAAATAATTTAGTTAATAAACTACATTGTACTCGAAAAAAGAAGAAGATGGAAATACTTATTCATAACTGAAAATGTTTAAGCAACTTCAATCTTGTGTTTTATTAACTTTAAAATTTGCAAAATCATTCTCATGTTTTCATTCAAAGTTGTAAGGTTGCTTTTATAACAGTGAGAGGTTATAAGTGTCTGTAAGAGAGAGAGTGTGTCACTCTGTTTGCTTATCTTAATTGGTTAATTAATTGACCGAGACATCCCTAAATGATTTGCAGATAATGAGGTGTAAACTATGAACTACCTAGTGTTTAACTTTTATAATTGATAGTTCCATTGAAGACAAACAATATTATTAAAAGAATTAATAGCTCTCAAGACACTTATTTCAATACAGAATGAAATTGTGCTATTAGTTAAATTACTTAGACACATTTAATTTTAAATTACATGTTTATTACTAAGAGTTCGTTCTAATTTACTTATTTTTTTTAAAAAGACGCGTACAGGAATGTTTAATATGTACGGTCAACATACATGTACAGGCAGCCCAAATACTTCTAATGAAGTACTTCACAATAAAATATTAAATAATTTTTGCAACGTCAATAAATATGGAGGTTCAGATCCAAGGTTGAAAGGAATAATTAATTCCTTGGCATATTTTATTGTAGGAATCATGTATCCACTTTCCATGGTAGAGAATCCCTCAATTGAGCATTTAGTGAGAATGTTAGCCAAAATAAAACCTTAAAAGAATCTGCACTGAAACTGCAGGAACATATTCAAACTTCAGTGGATAACATCAACATTTACCATTTAAATATTGCTTTGATCTTTGAAGGGATAAAAACTTGAAAGTAATCGATTATTAATTGATTACATCTTCCAAAGTAATCGATTACAATCAATTACAGGACAAAAATGAGTGTAATCGATTAATAATCGATTACACAAAATTCCTATAAGTAATTGATTATTAATCGATTACATTTTTCAGTAATCGTGCCCATCCCTGATTTTCAAACGTATAAATGTATCAATATTAAATGGCTCAAGTAACCCAACCCTTGGACTAGAACTATAGTATCATGAGAGACTTCTGGTTAACAAAAGTATAACTGATTTCTTCTTTTATAAAACTAGTTTCTTTTCTTTAACTTTGTATCACGTCTTTATCTAAGATAATTTCAGTAGCTATAGGCTTTAACGACCACCTGAGTATTACGAGTTTCTCTGGATATGACCACGTTGGGCCTACTTAAAACTGGCCTGGATTATAGTCACAAATATTTTACACTTTGATGGACAGGGGATTCTATATTCAATACCATATTTATGCAGCTTGTATCTTATAAGTTCAGAAGTAAAGAAAATAAGGTACACTGCATACTAAATATCAATATATGACCAACTTAGCCCCATTCTGGAGCAAAATCTTTTTGACCATAAGGAAATGAATTTTATGATTTTTGTGGAGGGCTAGCTGCTAATTATAATCCTTCAAGCAATGCGCTTCTTACTTGACCATGAGTAATGAAGTAGATCATATATTTTATCTTCAATAAATTCAGCACAACCCTCTGATCTGAACATGGACCAAGGAGCATGATTTTTTTTTTTTTTTTTTTTTTTTTTTTTTACACTTTTGGAAGAGGGCTTATAGTATATTTATCATAATATTGCCAAAAAATAATTTGAATCTGCAATACCAGGGGATGGTTGCATATTCATATTCCAATGTTAAACTTTGATCTATTGTGGCCTTACCCTACCCCACCCCACCCCCGGGGGCAATGATTTAAACAACCTTGAATCTGCACTATCCGCGGATGCTTGCATATATTTATATGACTAATCATGGCACTATTGTTCTAAGAATTTTTAAGAGATTGTTCCCTATATATTCCCCTGTAAAAATTTAATCCCTAATTGTGGCCCACCCTACCCCTGTGGACAATGTTTAGTCCGCATTGCCTGAGGGTGCTTGCATATTATTAGCATTAATCATGACCCTGCTGTTCTTGAGCAGATTTTTAAAAGATCTTCCTAATATATATATTCCCAAGTGAAAAACTGATCCCCTACTTTGGCCCCATCCCGTTCCCGGGGCCATGATTTGAACAAATTTGAATCTACACTATGTCACGAGGCTTTCCTGAAAGTGTCGCCTATTCTGGTACATGCAGTGATTCTTGACAAGAGGATTTTAATATGATCTCACACTACTTTTGCCTTTTATTGGTAATTGAACTTCCCTCGGAAGTTGGTATTACCCTACTTTTGAAGAAATACAAGAGGCCCAAGGGCCTTGAATCGCTCTTCTGATAAACTGTACAACCTATCACTTCTATTTGAAGCCTCAAAGTATCCTGTACATTTATATAAACCCTTGAAATTCCAATTCACACTCTGAGAACCCAAGATGATTCTAAGCCAATAAGCACCTGAGAGTTGGTCATGGTGACCTACTTATCACTTGTCATTCTCTGAGGACCTATCAAATAAGGTTGATGATTCTAAGCAAATTAATACCTAAAATATTTCTAAAATTATAACCATAAAATTTTATAAGTAGGTCAAAGTGACCTACTTTTCAGTTGTTGTACTCCAAGGACCCAAGATGCATCAACTGACAAAGTTTGATGATTCTAAGCCAATTAGTACCTGAAATATTTAATTAAAGCCATAAATTTTCAAAAGTAGGTCAAGGTGACCTACTTTTAAGTTGTTGTACTCCGAGGACCCAAGATACATCGACTGACAAAGTTTGATGATTCTAAGCCAATTAGTACCCAAAATATTTAATTAAAGCCATAAGTAGGTCACGGTGACCTACATTTCAGTCAAACTACTCCGAGGACCCAAGATGCATCAACTGACAAATTTTGATGATTCTAATCAAATATTACCTGAAAATATTAATTACAGCCATAAAATTTCAAAAGTAGGTCACCGTGACCTACTTTTTAGTCGACCTACTCCGAAGACCCAAGATGCATCAACTGACAAGGTTTGATGATTCTAAGCCAATAAGTACCCAAAATATTTAATTAAAGCCATACATTTTCAAAAGTAGGTAACGGTGACCTACTTTTCAGTCGACCTACTCCGAAGACCGAAGATGCATCAACTGACAAAGTTTGATGATTCTAAGCCAATTAGTACCTGAAATATTTAATTATAGTCATATAAATTGAAAAGTAGGTCATGGTGACCTACTTTTCAGTTGACCTTTTTTGAGGACCCAAGATGCATCAACTTACAAAGTTTTATGATCATAGACCTTAAAATGTCCAAATTATGCCTCTAAAACGCTTTGAAATCGAATGCCTGCAAAGTTCAAAAAGTAGGTCACTGTGACCTACTTTTTAATAAATATGTTTTATGACCCCAAGATGCATCATCTTACAAGATTTAATGATTCTAAACCTCTCGGTATTCGAATTAATGACCTTAATTGTTTTGAAAAAGATTAGCCATAAAATTCAAAAAGTGGGTCTAGGTGACCTACTTTTTAGTCGACGTACTCCGAGGACCCAAGATACATGAACTGACAAAGTTTGATGATCATAGGCCTTAAATTGTTCAAAATATGCCTCTAAATCAATTTGTAAAAGAATGGCCGCAAAATTTAAAAAGTAGGTCACCGTTACCTACTTTTGAGTAACATGATATGAGGTCCTTAGATGCATCAACTGACAAGATTTGATGATCCTAGTCCTTATAGTAAGCAAAATATCAACATTTTAATAAAACGTAATTTTTGGTCAACTTTGAAGTGACCTT